ATCCTGCTGGTATGAGATACATAGCTTACCTTTACATGTTGAGCTTATAGGTACCCCAGAGGCTGAATAGATGCCCAGGAGGTTCTTGTACTGGTACTTCTTCCCATCCATACCATGAACAACAGCCAACAAAGATTCCAGACTCAGGAAGTGTTTTGGAATAAAAGAATGAATGAAAAAGGAATGGATGCAAGCTTGCACAGTTTGGTGCTTTTTCTGTCATATAGACCCTTCGTGATAGCTATTGGCTAAAAACCACATCCATCAATCATGGTAAGGCTCTCTCCAAGTTTCAAGTAGTCTATCCCAGGGTGATTTTTGCTAACAAACTTGATCTGGGCGGAGAGTAATCTCAAAAATTTATCTTCAGCTCTTTCAATGTGGTCTACTTAGAAAATATTAACCAGGCATTTGCTTCCTCTTTGGGAGCTAAATCATTTCATTTAACAGCATCTACAACTGTCAGAACTTTGGCAGACTTGGTGAAAAATGCCATTTTAACTGCCTGCATTAAAAATTAATCATATAAAATTTCCTTTGTTTTGTTTGTACCACTACACTCCCCACTGATTCGGAAGAAGTCCTGATGGTTTTTGTTTGTTTAGTTTTAATAGTGTGCGGTCCTTTCCTCGGGCTGCAAAAACAGTTATCGCACTTACTAGAAAAGCGTGAGCATTTTACAATTATATTGGAGAGTGACTTCACTTGCCCCCACTGCTTTTTTTTTTTTTTTTGCTTTTTGGATCACACCCGGCGATGCATAGGGATTACTCCTGGCTCTACACTCAGGAATTACTCCAGGTGGTGCTCAGGGGACCATATGGGATCCTGGGAATCGAACCCGGGTTGGCCGCGTGCAAGGCAAATGCCCTACCCTCTATGATATCACTCCAGCCCCACCCACTACTACTTCTTTTTCTATACCAATGGAAACTGAAAGTGGGGCAAGTCCCTAAATCATTTTTGCCAAGAGAACAGCAAATTATCCTTGTTCTTACCTACTTGGTAAATTACCCCTCTCATTACCATACTTGGTAAATTACCAATCTCTGGCAAATTCCCTTGAGGGGAAAAAGGGGGAGGGGTTACAAAACATAGCACAAGACACAAGATTATTCACTTATCAAGGAGCTGAAATGTTCCTTAAAGTCAACCGGGCAGTCATTCTTGACATATACAAACACAAAGACAAGCAGCAGAGCTTGGAGATAGTAAAAAGGTGAAATGCATGCTGTGTGTGCTTGGGGGCCCCACCTTCATCCCTCCCACTGCATGGTTCCCTGAACACAACCCTAGGTATATCCTAGTGGCATCTCCCTCCCCCTCGGCCCAGGCCCATGTACCATCGGCACCACTGGACTGAGTATGGCAGAACCCCAAAACACCACTACCTCCTCTTGCTCGTAAACCTTCCTAAACGCCAGAGCTGTTCTTCCTGCATGGCCTTACTGCTGACCTCCTCTGGAATGTCAGTTCCTTAGCTCACGGCCTCTGCCGGGTAGAAGGGAAGAGTCTTGCTGAACTCCCCCACATCATCAGTGGCTGTGAGCAACCACACCCCCGAAGTGCAGTTTTCACTCCTCGAGAGGAGCTGCCTCCATCAACCAGATATTTGGAGTGAGTTCCTGCTTTCCAAATCAGTAAGTTCCAACCCCTCTTAGCACTTACACATATAACCCAGGAAAACCAATCAAGGCGCCAGCCCAAGTCGTAACACTCCCTGCAGCCAGGCCTGTGGGTGGCTTCAAACCACATACCCATTGCTCTGGCCGCTCACCCCCCAGAATTCAACTCTCGCTGGGAGTGGCAACCTACCACAGTGGAGGTACATGTCAGGCTTGAAGCCCAGAGAGAGTCAGACTGGTCCTCTACACCGCTGGTTGTTCAAAGTTTGAGCCATGGACCAGTAGAACCAGCATTACCCGAACTCGCCCAGTTCTACCGAGCCAGACTTCACACTTGAATCTAATCTCTGGGAGGTTGAAAGGAAGCACAAAGGGGTAAAAAGACATCTTCACAATTAGAGTCAAGTTCATCTGCACTGGGCTGGTAAGACCCGCGGTAACATTACCAAAGAAGGTGCCACAGGGATTCTTATGACCTGGACAAAGGAGACGCCCTCACCTCTGAATACCCGGGCCAAGAGCCAGCTCCGAGGAGCAGAAAAACTGAACAGGGTGCGTGCTTCTATATTTTGGGGGTGGGGTGAGGGGAGAGACATGGTCAGTCAGTTTTATTTTGTTTCTGAAATTGTGATATTCTGTTTTGGTGTCCAGTAGCAGTGTTCAGGGCTTATTCCTAGTTCTGCACTCAGGGATCACTCCTGAGGGGCTCCAGGGATCATGTGTGGTGCTAGGAATGAAACCCCAGCCAGCTACATGCAAAGCAAGGGCCTTACCCACTGACCCAAAAACTGTGCTATTTATTTATTTAAGTTCTACCGAGGACTTATTTATTTAAGACTTTATTATTGAATCACTGTGAGATACATCTTTACAAAGCTGTTCATGATTAGGCTTAAATCATACAGTGTTCTAACACCCATCTCTCCACCAGTGCACATTTCCCAGCACCAGTGTCCCCAGTTTCTCTCCCATAACCTCCCCTCTACTCAGCCTGCCTCTATGGGCAGGCACTTTTCTTTTTTCTTCTCTCTCTGTCTCTCTCTCTGTCTCTCTGTCTCTTTGTCTCTCTGTCTCTCTCTCTCTCTCTCTCTCTCTCTCTCTCTCTCTCTGATTTTTTTAAAAGAACATTCTGTGGAGGGGCTGGAGCAATAGCACAGCGGGTAGGTGCCTTGTACACGGCCAACCCAGGTTCGATTCCCAGCATCCCATATGGTACCCTGAGCACCGCCAGGGGTGATTCCTGAGTGCAGAACCAGGAGTAACCCCTGTGCATCGCTGGATGTGACCCAAAAAGAAAATAAAAAAAAAGAACATTCTGTGGAAAGCAGAGGAAAGGTGAGTCATATATCACTATTTCAACGGAACATCAACGCCACCCCCTCCCACTCATTTTCATAAAGGGGTTCTCCAGAAGACTCAGAGATACAGGAACATGACAGGCACTTCCTGTCAGGGCTCAGATGCAGTGATGGGGGGTCAGCTTGCCTGGGAGCTAGTCAGAGCCAGACCTTGGCAAACAGCCCAACATTGGGCCTCAGTTTCTCATCTTTAAAATGGAAATAAGGAGCCAGACGGATAGTATAGAGGTCAAAGCACAAGCCTTGTGTGCAGCTGACCCTTTTCTCAGAACCACATGGTGCCCCAGACCATGGCCGGGTGCAGGCCTGGAGGTCCCTGGGCACTGGGGTTGCTTAGGCTGTCCCCAACAACACAAGACCCGTGCAGCACCACCTCACTGGACCCTTACATTGAACCACTGGCTGTTTGACTGAGAACTGCTGGGAGCTGCATCCCCTCGACCCCCAATTAGTAAGATGAAAATAAAGGGGTCAGGGAGCTAGCTCCCAGGGGATGGAGCGAATGCCCGGCAGATGACCTGAGTAGAATCCCAGCACTGCACTGGCCCCCAAGCACCTCTAGGCATATCCCTCGAACCCTGCTGGTGTGTTTCCTGGTGGTCCCCATCATAACTAAGCTGGCCAGCACTGTATCAGGGCTTCAAGCACTGAGCACTGAGCCATGAGGCTAAGTAGTGCAGGAGTGGTCCCCGGGTGCGCTTAGCCAACATTGCTTGGGGAACCCTCCCTCACAATGAATGAATCAGTGAAACGGAACTGCCTGGGCTCCCAGATGCCCTCCCTCTGGCAGCTAAACCCAATCTGGATCCTAAGCCAGTCAGCAGGAAGAAACCAGCGGGCAGCACGGGCAGGCCCCAAGGAAAGTGTCCCTGGACACAGCCCACAGTGCTTGAAGCATGAGCAATGACACAGACATGCCAGGTCCACTTCAGGCATGGATGGAGGCCGGGCTAAGAGTTCTGCAGAAAGCAAGGGCCTGGCCTCCCGGGAGGGGCCTGTCTGCATGACACCCCCTCCCAGGTCACCCCAAGAGCTCAGCCTGCCCACATCCCTCAGCCCTCCATAGTCTTCACTCTCTCCACTTGGTACCCGAGCCCAGATCTCAGGTGAGCAATGCAATTTCCTTTCCCAAACTTTATTTCAAGTTTTGTTTTTGTGAAAGCAGAAAAAAGATACTATACTCTGTAACATACCTTCAATTGTTGAAAGGAAAAAATTTATTTGTGGGCTGAAGAGATAGTATAGCAGTTAAGGGGCTTGCCTTGCACTTCCTGGACATGGGTTCAATCCCCAGTACTACATGTGGTTCCCTGAACCCCACCAGGAGTGATTCCTGGGCACAGAGCCAGGAGTAAGTCCTGAGCACAGCTGGGTGTGCCCCCAAACCAAACCAACAAATTAAAAAAATAAATCATTTGAAACCATCTCAATTCCTACACACAATAAAAGTCTGGATAAACATTCAAATGAACAAGAGACACCAAGAAATGGTTTCAAAGCCTTGATAATCATCAACAGACCCCAGGCAGTTACAGCCCTTGACTCCAGAGAGGGGTGTTGGTCTTCCCAAGAGAAGGGGAGAAGGCAGATACGTTTAGGAGGGTGGGCAAGACATGGTGTGGCCTTTACATAAAGCTCAGAGCTTCCAGTGATGCAACTCAGGCACGCATCATTGGAGCCCGTTCTGGGATGATGCCTCTTCAGAGGGGACTTGTGTCTACTGTATCTGAATCCAATACAGGAGGGCAGGAAGTCCAAGGAGACCCGTTAAAGAGGCAGTCCTGGGCAGAGGGTCTCAGAAACTCCTCTCTGGGGGTCTTACCTGCCAGAGGGCAGGGTACTGGGGGAAAACACGTTCATTGCATCTGGAATGAATCTCAATGTGCAAAGCAAGTACCTTCCGGCCGAACCACACCCCCAGCCAACATGCACAATCCCAGCCCTCTCCTCCTTCTGGCCCCACCTCCCACCCCCAAGGTACCACCCAATGATGCCCATCAACCCCCAGAGGACTTACTTGTCAGTTTTCTTGATCAGGATGGCCCTGAAGATGTGCTCCAGGGGTGACTTTTCCCGCTTGGGGGTGGGCTGCAGGAAGGGGTGCAGGGCCACCAGCGAGAAGCCCTGCTGGTATAGCTCCAGCAGCTGGGCGGGCAGGTCATGCAGCGAGGCCAATCTCACGGCCGAGGAGCGCGGGAGATCAGCTGGAGTGGAGAAAAGGAGAGACTCAGTGACTGCCCAGCCAAACCTCCTCCCGCCCTTGCCGCCCAAGGCTCTGTCCCTGCCTCGAGGGGACACCCAAGGGGCTGCCCATTTCCCAGCTCACTCCAAGGCAGTGAGACAGTGAGGTTTTGAACTGACAGTCAACCTTCTCAGAGACGGCATTAGAAATCCTTAAAAAGAAGGGCCATCCCACCAGCAGTGAAGGAGAGTCCCCGTTTGCCCACATCCACGCCAACACCAGTTGCTTTTGTTCTTTTGGATGTGTGCCAGTCTCTGTGATGTGAGATGATATCTTATTATTGTTTGGATCTGATGATTAGTGATGAAGAGCATTTTTTCATGTGCCTTCTGGCCATTCGGATTTCTTATTTGAGAAAGTTTCTGTTCATTTCATCGCCGCATTTTCTGATGGGATTGGATGTTTTCTTCTTGTAGAGTTCAACCAGGGCCTTGTGTATCCTTGATATTAACTGCTTATCAGAAGGGTACTGGGTGAATATCTTTTCCCATTACGTAGACTGTTTTTGTATTCTGGTCACCGTTTCTGTTGAGGTGCAGAAGCCTCTTAGTTTAAGATAGTCCCTTCACTGCTGGTGGGAATGTCAACTGGTTTAGCCTTTTTGGAAAACAATATGGATGTTTCTCAAAAAAACTAGAAATTAAGGGAGGGCCCCACAGCTCCCAGAGAATGCTCCAGTTCCCAAACAGAGCCGATATCACCGGGAAGTCCCAGATGAGGTAGGTGCTGCATCCCGTCTTCTCCAGATGGAGCCCCGGTGACCATGAGCCTCTACAAGCATAGCTATGGCATGCAGGAACCAGGACAGTTTTTCAAAATCGTGTGGCCTAAGCGGCCGCACGACATCTCCTTATATACAAAGTGATCAATGGAAAGTAAATTATCCAACGTTTCTCCCTGAAAATCAGGCTTAACTCTTTTGCAAACCACAACACCCAAAAGGAGAGAGAGAACAGAGGGGAATGCCCTGCCACAGAGGCAGGGTGGGATGGGGGGGATAAGGGGTGGGAGGGATACTGGGATCCATGGTGGTGGGAAATGGGCACTGTTGGAGGGATGGGTATTCAAAATAAATAAATTAATTAAAATAAACCTAGAAATTAAGCTCCCATTTGACCTAGCAATACCGCTTCTGGGAATATATTCCGGAGAGTCGAAAAAATACAGTAGAAATGACATCTGCACTTGTATGTTTATTGCAACACTATTTATAATAGCCAGAACATGGAAAAAACCCAAGTGTCTGAGAACAGATGACTGGTTAAAGAAACTTTGGTACATCTACACAATGGAATACTACGCAGCTATTAGAAAAGATGAAATCATGAAATTTGCACATAGGTGGATCAATATGGAGAGTACCATGCTAAGTGAAATGAGTCAGAGAGAGAGGGACAGACAAAGAATGACTGCACTCGTTAGTGGAATATATAGTAACAGAATGGGAGACTAACACTATAATATAATAATAGAGATAAGGGCCAGGAGGATAGCTCCATGACTTGGAAGGCTGATTACATGCTGGGGGAAAAGGCAGCTGGAATAAAGAAGGGATCACTAAGATAATAGGAGGGCTCCCTCGGGATGGGAGATTCATGCTGAAAGAAGACTATAAAACAAACATGATGGCCACTTAATACCTGTATTGCAAACCATAACACCCAAAAGGAGAGAGAGAGAAGGGAATGTGCCTGCCACAGAGGCGGGGGGTAGGCAGATGGGGTTTGGACAAAGGTGGTGGGAGGGATACTGGGAACATTGGTGGTAGAGAATGGGCACTGGTGGAAGGATGGGTATGACTGAAACGTAATCATAAAAGTTTGTAAGTCTGTAACTTTATCTCACTGTGATTCATACACACACACACACACACACACACACACACACACACACACATATGGGCTGGAGCTATAGCACAGCAGATAGGGCGTTTGCCTTGCATGCAGTCAATATGACCAACCCGAGTTCGATTCCTCCGCCCCTCTCGGAGAGACCGGCAAGCTACCGAGAGTACCTCGCCCGCACGGCAAAGCCTGGCAAGCTACCCATGATGTATTCGATATGCCAAACACAGTAACAAGAAGTCTCACGATGGAGACGTTACTGGGCCCACTCGAGCAAATCGATGAACAACGGGAGGACCATGACCGTGACATATATAGCCAGAAAGAAGGTACCAAGTTATGGCGCTTGCCTTGCAAGTGACCACTCTGGGTTCAATCCCTGTAACTTGTCAGGAGTGACCCCAGAGCACAGAGCCAGAAGGAGGCCCTGCATGCCACCACGGGGTGATTCAAAAATTAAACGAAAAAGAAAGAATGAAAAAGAAAAGGTGCTCTAGGAAGAGAAAACACAATGACATGTAAATATAAAATTGCCCTGTGGCGAAAGTAGAAAATCAAAGTCAAAACAGAACATTGTGTGTGTGTGTGTGTGTGTGTGTGTGTGTGTGTGTGTGACCATACTGGGCAGTCCTTTAAGTCTACGTCCCAGTTCAATGTCTGGGAGTTTCTTTCAGTGGTTGTGGGGGGCTGTGCGGAGCTGGGGATGGAACTCAGGTCTCCTGCCCACAAAGTATGTGCTCCAGCCCACTGGGCTTGTGCTCCCAGGGCCTCAAGCTTCTTAAGGGGAAAGGGTTAATTTTCCCAATTTGCAAAATCACAAAGGAAAAAAGGAAGGAAGGAAGGAAGGAAGGAAGGAAGGAAGGAAGGAAGGAAGGAAGGAAGGAAAAAAAGAAGGAAAGGAAAAGAAACCAAGAAAATGGAGCACCAATGTGTAGAGTTCAAATCCCACCCCAATCCCCAGCAATGCTGGGTGAGGTCCCCATAAAAATTTAAATGAAAAATGAGCAAACTAGGCTTATATTAATAATCCTAAACAATACAAAAGTTTAAGCAATTTTGGAAAAGATACTCAACATTAACTTTGAATCTCAAAACGGATCAATCTTTTCCACATACTGAAATATTTTTAAATTGAATAAAGAATGTTTGAGAAAGATAGAATTTAAAAGTCAAGTCTACGTCCCAGATCTATCCCCGGCTTTTCTCCTAAATGCAATCAATACTAGCCTTCTTTTTTGGCATACATGTTATTAATTGCTCAATTCATACACAGGTAAATAAGTCTATATATCTCCCTGCCTTTTGCACAAATGGTAGCATAATGTTATTTACCTGGCTTTTAATCAATTTTTATAAATGATCAGTATACTCTCCTTAGAGACGGTTCAATATACAGAGCTATTCCACATTCTTTCCACAGATGCTCAGTGTTCCATTGTGTGTTGTACCATGGATTTTGTGAATCTTTGCACCTATAAGTGATGTGAAATGAAAAAACACTGCTCCTGTATGATTCTGTGAATATATAGTTACCTAAAAATGTAATGCTTAGATGTGTGAACTTTTTTCTGGGCTAAAGAAATACTTTGCTTTTTTTTTCCAGCTACTGCTAGATTTCCTTCACAAAGTAACTCACATTTGATTCTTGCCAGAAAGATACAAAAGTCTTTGTTTATCCATAGCCTGGCTAATCTCATCATCCTCAAGAGATGGCTATGATACATATTTTTTTCTCTTATTGTGTGCTTTGTTCATAATCTGTTTCATCTTCTATTGAGTTACTAGTTCTTTTTCCAATTGGTTTGTAAGAACTCTTTATATAGGAGGAGTTTTAGTTCTTATTTGTGAACTATCTTTCCGATTTATTCTTTGACTTTGCCTGAAGAGTTTTTTCCATAACAATTTTTTTTATTATTAGTGAAACACCATGAGGTACAGTTGTAGATTTACAAATTTTTGTGCTTGGGTTTCAATTATACAATGATCAAATACCCTTCCCTCCACCAGTGCCCATTTTCCACCACCATGGATAATATCCCTCCCACCCCCATCACCCCCATCCCACTCTGCCTCTGTGGCAGGGCATTCCCTTTTGTTCTCTCTCTCTCCTTTTGGGTGTTGTGGTCTGCAAAAGAGGCATTGAGTGGCAAACATGTTCAGTCCATAATCTACTTTCAACATGCATCTCCCCTCATGGGAGGATCCTCCCAACACCCTTTATTTGGTGTTCCCTTCTCTGTCTGAACTGCCCTTTCCCCTAGAATACCCGGCTGGCCTCTAAGCTATGGAGTAATCCTCCTGGTGCTGATCTCAGCTATTCTTGGGTATTAATCCCATATTTTGTTACTTTATATTCCCCAGATGAATGCAATCTTTCTATGTCTATCCCTCTCTTTCTGACTCATTTCGCTTAGCATGATACTTTCCATGTTGTACCACTTGTATGTAAATTTCATGACTTCATCTTTTCTAATAGCTACATAGTACTCCATTGTACCAAAGTTTCTTTAACCAGTCATCTGTTCTTGGGCATTCAGGTTTCTTCCAGTTTCTGGCTATTGTAAAGAGTGCTGCAATGAACAAACAAGTGCAGATGTCACTTTGAATATACATTTTTGCCTCTCTGGGATATATTCCCAGGGGTGGTATTGCTGGGTCAAATGGGAGCTCAATTTCTAATTTTTTTAGCATCATCCATACTGTTTTCCAGAAGGGCTGAACCAGTCGACATTCCCACCAACAGTGAAGGAGTGTCCCTTTCTCGCCACATCCGTGCCAGCATCGGTTGCTTTTGTTCTTTTGAATGTGGGCCAGTCTCTGAGGTGTGAGATGGTATCTCATTGTGGTTTTGATCTGCATCTCCCTGATGATTAGTGATGTAGAGCATTTTCTCATGTGCTTTTTAAAAGCTGAAATTGAAGTCATCGTCAACCTTGCCTTCACTCTGAGTTTTATGCCACAGTGAAGATATCAGAGAGTGAAAAAAAAACTCCGTGGTTTCTTGTAGGACAAAGTGGTCCTTCTTATTTTTTAAAAGATTCTGATGCTTTTAATATAAGCCTGTGTGCATCCATGTTCTTACATAAATGGAATGGTATTTGGTATTCCGTACACATGG